ATTAAGAGTTCTACTCTTAATAAGACCTTATAAAGATACTACTTAATTAGCTACTCTATAGCATTTAAACCTAACTTACTACCTAAGAAATAGATAACTATAGATTAGGAATAAGCTATCGTTACACTAGTTTAGTAAAAATAGGCTTATAACTTACTTTATAATAAAAATAATAATAATAATAATAAAAACTAAGGTAGTAATAATAATAATAGTAATAGTAATTATTAAGGCTATAATAATACTATTAGTAAACTAAGTTTAGTTAATATAGTTTTTAGTTATAATATTACTAATATTAAAATAAACTTAGGCTATAACTTATAAAAAATACTTAAACTTAATATCTTTTAAAACCTTAGCTAAAATATACTTAATATTAACTAAGTATTAGGTTTAAAAGATAATAATAACTAAAATAATAATAAATACTATTTATTTAATTAATATTAGTCCTAATTAAAGGTAAAGTTAGACTTATATTAAGGTAATATTACCTAAGCTTTATATACTTAGTATAAATATAGCTTTTACTTATTTTTATTAATATAAGTTAAATATAAAATAGTTATAAATTAAATATAATATATACTAGTTTAGTTAAAGTAAATAATAGTATTAGCTATTTTTATTTACTTTAAGTAAAGGCTATAAAAGATCTCTTAAAATAAACCTTAAGTAAGCTTTATATATAATATAATTTAAAAATATAAGTTAGTAAATAACCTAGGGGTAAAGAGGAAATAAACTAAAACTTATTATTTTTAGTATTTTTAGTATTTTTAATATTTTTAAGTAAAATTTAAAATGAAATTAGCTATAAGCCTAAGGTAGGTATAAAATAAGAAGATATTACTTATTTAATAATAATAGTAAAGGTATAAAGCTTTTTATATAATATTAGTAATAAAAATAATATACTAGGTATAGCTTAAATAAATAAAGCTTATATATAAAGCTAATAAAGAAAAGAAAAGGAAGGTATATAGTTAATTTAGTTAATAAAAAAAAGAAAAAGCTTATAAAAGTAAGAAAATTTTAATCTATTTATTATACTAATAAACTAACTAAATTAGCTAAATTAGCTAAATTATTTAAATAAATTAGCTAAATTAAATAAATTAAATAAATTAGCTAAATTAGTTAATAATTAATAAAGAATTTATAAGTAAATAATATTTATAACTATAAAAAGTTTTTATTTTATACTTATAATAATAAAAGAGTTAGAGTTTTATATATTATTTATAAGTTATATAAATAAGGAAAACTTAATAAATATATATATAATATATATAATAAAAATAATAATATACTATTTACTTTAATAGCCCCTTATAATAACCTTAAAATAAAATAACCTTATATAAATAAAAAAATAAACTAAAGCTAAATATAACTAATAATAATAATAATCTTCTTTAGTAAATACCTAAAGAAGATATTACACTTTTACTTAGTAATAGTATAGTAACTTTATAGTCCTAGCCTACCCTAAACTACCTAGTACCTATTATAAAATAAAAAAGGAGGTTATAAAAAGATTATATTTATTTTATAAATTAAAAAGAAGGGCTTTATAGGCTTTTACTAAAAACTAGTATAGACCTAGAGTAAAAGATAAAAGTATAGGTTTTCTTCTAAGAACTCTAGTTTTTCTTATATTTATAATTAGTAAAGGTACTAAATAGATAAACTAGTTTAACTAGTATAAATAAATAAATAAATATAATAAAATATAATTAAAAAGTAATTAATATAAAATTAATATAATTTTTATTTAATATATAAAAAATAAATTACTAAGTTAATTTAACTATTATAAAGATCTTAAAATATAATATTATATTAAAAATACTTTAATTATAAGTAAGTAATTTTTAAATTAATTAAAAAACTAGTTAATTTTAATAAAATTTATTAAAATATAATAATAATAATAAAAATAACTTATAAAAAGTACTTTAGTTAAACTATAATAAGTCTTTAAAAATATATATAATTATTAGAAAGTTAAAAGCTAATATAATAAAGATTTTTAAAAAATACTTAAAATATAATAAACTATTTAATAAAAAACTAAAAATAAGACTATTAAAGTATTTATATTAAGATTATAAAATTAAACTTTAGCTTAATACTTAATTAATATTTAATAAGATTTATCTTTAAAATCTTAAGTAAAATAAAGTATTTAAAGAATATTTAAAGGATATATTATAAAAAAATATATATAATTATTAAAGTTTTTAATAAGATATTTAATCTTATAAATATTAAAAAAATAAAAAATTATAATTATATATTAATTACTAATAATTAAATAAAATTATAATTAAGAATTAATATTTATTATTATTTATTATAAAAATATAAAATAAAGTTAAATAAGTTAATTAATTTATTTATTTTAATTTAAAAAAAGTTTATAATTTAATTTATATAATTAAAGATTATAAATAAAAAACTACCTTTTAAATTATAAAAAAATACTTTAAATATCTTATAATATTATTTAACTTTATTAATATA